CCCTCCCTTCTAGCACTGATGTTGTTACCTAGTTGGGTCATGAAACGCCTGCAAGAAAACCACCAAGCTCAGAGCGCACCAAGGACCGCTCGTTCTAAGGTTTTAAATTCTTGTGGTGCTATTTTACGATGTTGCAAGCCGCCCGGAGTCGCTCCATAGTTAAAACTGGCATCCTATAATCAATAATATAATATGAATAAAGAAAATGAATAGCAATATTAAAAACGTTGGTTGTTTCGTGCAACACAGAGAGAGAAGGAGAAACTGAAACAGGAGGCCACCGGAACAAGAGAACAGGAAAACGTTTAATGACCAAAAAAGGACCTTGCAGGGACACTCCATTCCAGCAAGAAACAACAGGGAGACCCCAAAGGACCTCCAGAAACGCTCCTCACTCATTAGGATTGCTGCAAATGGTCACCCTTTCCAATAAAACGCAGCCAGCCAACCTTTCCTTAGTGAGGAACGGCCATGGAGTTGAACACAAGAAGAACAGAAACGGGCTTTTCAGTTCAGGAGACCTGGAGAAGAGAGACAAAGGCAAGGTTAAAAAAAAAATTGCCATAGGGGAAACTGTCCTTCTCTGCAAGCCCAAAACAATTTGGTGGGTTGGCGATAAGCCCATCCAAGAGGGACTGCAGTGGCTCAAGGGGCTAAGACGCTGAGCTTGTTGATCAGAAAGGTCAGCAGTTTGGCGGTTCGAATCCCTAGCGCTGCATAACGGAGTGAGCTCCCGTTTACTTGTTCCAGCTTCCGCCAACCTAGCAGTTCAAAAGCATATCGAAAAAATGCAAGTAACAAAATAGGGACCCCTTTAGTGGGAAGGTGCGCCTTCAGTGTTTAATCATGCCGGCCACATGACCATGGAGACGTCTTCGGACAGCAATGGCTCTTCGGCTTCGTAACGGAGATGTGCAACGCCCCCTTATAGTTGAAAACGACTAGAACGTACGTGCCAAGGGATCCTTGACCTTAATCCCATCAAAATTCAGGGCACTTGGCAACTGAATTTATGACAGTTGCAATGTCCCAGGTTGTGGGATCTCTTTTGTGATCATCTGACAAGGAAAATCAAGGAGTGGGGGGGCAGCCCAGATTCACTTCTGTGTTTACTAACTTAATGAGGGCAATGATTCACTTAACAACCGGGACAAGGTCGTAAAATGGTGCAAAACCCACTTCAAGGGCTCCATGAACAGAAATTTGGGGTTTGATTGTGGTCATAGGCTGAGGGGCTATTCTGTATTGTCCAATTTCTCCCCCACCCCCCACCCCGGTATTCCTTTCTCAAAACAAGACCACCAAACTAGGGTGCAAGATGGCAAGCAATTCGAAACACGTACCCAGGTAGTCGTCCATCAGGGATCCAATGGCAAACTGCAAAGAGAGAGAGAGAGGAAGAAAGAGAGAAAGAGAAAGAAAGAGATAGAAAGAGAATGAAAGAGAGGATAGAAGGAAGGAAGGAAGGAAGGAAGGAAGGATGGAAGGAAGGAAGGAAGGAAGGAAGGAAGGAAGGAAGGAAGGAAGGAAGGAAGGAAGGAAGGAAGGAAGGAAGGAAGGAAGGAAGGAAAGGAAAGGAAAGGTTAAAAATAGTAAAGTGGCCCCATATTATCCCCAATTTTCACAGCAAGAATTTTTCCCTTTCTCACAAACATCCCAAAGACCAACACATATAGTTTTTTCCATGCAAATAGGAATCTGCCTGAACTACTGGAAATTGGAAATCGATCCAATCCTCCTCCTTTCCTCAGGGAGATCAAAACAGAGAAGATCTGGATGGTCAGATTCAGCAGCTATTAACCCTCCAGGTGTTGTTCCCAGCTCCAGCAGTGTATTTGTGCGTGAAACAGGCAGTGTAGAAATTTGATAAAACAAATCAGAATAATTGTCT